CAGTTCAAACCCATTAGCTATGCGTTGGAACTGATTGGATAGCACTTAACAACAACAACATGATAATTACTAGGGGCTCTTGATTTCTCCTGTAGGAGCAAACCCCTGTGGTTAGACTTTTTATCTGGGGAACTGAGTTAAACTTAGTCTAAATTGGTCATGGGATGTGGGTGAAGATAAAAATGGGATCAGCAGTAAAAGGGATATTGGGAGAAGAGACTGTTATCAGATTGAAAGGTTTCTTCAGCAGTGTGATCACAAAGGATGAGTGATTTAAATCAGGAGTAAATTTTTTTTAGACTAAGTAATTGACCCTCTATTCAGGGTTAACCCATATTGACATTTAATACAGTCTTCTCTGAAGGGGCTAAGCCTAGGGGTAAGGTCAGTAGAGCTCAAGGCAAGCAGTAGCAGCCCAAGAACCCTCTGCATCTCACTCCACAGTTCCCCTTTTCTTTTCCAAAACAACTTTCCACAGTCCACACTTTTATCCCATGTGAAAGGTTGTTAATACTGATCATAAAATGTACTCTAGTAATTAGGTCTAATAATCAATTTGAAAAATATAGTTTACTTTTTAAAGCCAGGAAGAACGCTAGCCTCTGTCTCTTTCAGTAGTTTCATTTTACAGGTCCAGCGAAGGAGAGTGACTTCAAATCAAGGATTGTTGTTGTTGTTGTTATGTGCCATGGAGTTGGTTCCGAATCACAGCAACTCTGTACAGGATTTCCAAGGCTGTAAATCTTTACTAGAGCAGAAAGCCTCATCTTTCTCCCGCAGAACAGCTGGTAGTTTCGAACTGCTGCCCGTGAGATTAGTAGCCTGATTCATAACCACTATGCTACCAGAGCTCCTTAAATCAAGGATTATTGTTGTCAAGTGCCGTAGAGTCAATCCCTACCCATAGCGACCTGTATAGGGTTTCCGAGGAGCAGCTAATGAGCTTGAACCACTGACCTTGCAGTTCAAATGGCTTTGCAGTCTGGTGCATTAATCCATAGCGCCACACCAGGATTCCAAATCAAGGACTATGGGGTACTAATTTAGAACCACAATGCCGGTGGTTCAAACTCACCAGTTGCTCCTTGGAAACCCTATACAGGGTTGCTATGAGTCAGAATGGACTCAATAGCATATAACAACAACAACAATTTAGCTTCTAATTTCTGTACATTCACCAAAGTGAGATTTTTATCACTTCTACACCATAATATATGAGAACAAGGTCAATCTTGAACCTCTTCATAGTGGCTCATTTCTAAATGTTCAATATGTTTAGAGTTCAAACTTGGTGTCAGACTTAACGCAGTTTCTTACCTGGATGTGTTGTCCATAGAACACTTTGTGTATTTCTGTGCACTTTATATATGAATAAGGAGAAGAGTTTGTAGAAGTAGGTGGGGCCAGTGAAAGAGGGAAGAAAGGCCAGCATCTGGGCTCCACTACAGTCTCCTGGGCTTAGACAAAAATGACAGAATCCTTAACCCACTCAGGGACAATTTGTGACTGGGTGGTGGCCATAAAAATATATCACTGGTTTCTGGCTGTTTCCTGCAAATCTGACAGTCAATATAAGGGATTACGATGAGCCTTAAATAAATCTTTAGTTTTGATGTGTTTAATTAATTTAGATTACTAGAACTCATGCTACTAGATCATAATAGAATTACAGATGCTTTGTTGTTGTTAGGTGCCATCGAGTTGGTACTGCCTCATAGTGACCTTATGCACAACAGAACAAAGCACTGCCTGGTCTGATGCCAACCTCACAGTCATTGCTGTGCTTGAGCCCATTCCTTTTTTTCACTGAAGCTCCTCTTTACCTAGCATGATGTCCTTTTCCAGGGACTGGTTCCTCCTGATAATTTGTCTGAAGTATGAGAGATGAAATCTGGCCATCCTGGCTTCTAAGGATCATTTAGGGTATACATCTTCCAACACACATTTGTTTGTTCTTTTGGTGGTCCATGGTATTCATAATATTTTTCTCTAACACTATTAAGCCAAATGCAACAATTTTTCCATGGTTTTACTTATTCACTGTGTAACTTTCACATGCCATGATCTGTGTCAGGTGCACCTTAGTTCTCAAACTGACATCTTTGCTCTTGAATACATTCAAGAGCGTCTGTGCAGCATATTTGCCTAATGCAATACATTATTTGATTTCTTGATTGCTGCATCTATGAGTGTTGATGGTTGATCTGAGCAAACTGAAGTCTGACAACTTCAATGTTCTTCATTTATATGAATGTTATTTACTGGTCCAGCGGAGAAGATTTTTGTTTTCTTTGCACTGAAGTGCAACCCATACCAAAGGCTGTGGTCTTAGATCTTCATCAGTAAGTATTTTAAGTTCTCCTCATTCTCAGTAAGCAAGGTTGTATCATCTGCACATTGCAGATGTTGTTAATGAGTCTTCCTCCAACCCTGATGCAATGTTTTCTTCATATAACCCAGCTTCTCAAATTATGTCTTCAGCATACCAATTGAATAAGTATAGTAAAAGAATACAAACCCTGGCACACACCTTTCCTAATTTTAAACCATTCGTCGTTCCCTTGTTCTGTTCAAACCACTGCATCTTGGTCTAAGTACAGGTTCCTCGTGAGCACAACTAAGTGTTCTGGAATACTCATTCTCCGCAATGTTGTCCATAGCTTGTCATAATCCACACAAACCAAAGTCTTTGTGTACTCAATAAAGCACAGGTTTATAAACATCTTCCTGTCATTCTCTGCTTCCAGCAAGATCCATGTGATGTTAGCGATGATATCCTTGGTTCCACGTCCTCATCTGAATCTGGTTTGAACCTCTGGAAGTTCCCTGTCAATGCATTGTTGCAGCCACTTTTGAATTATATTTGCTTATGATATTATTGATATTGTTTGGTGATTTCCAAATTCTGCTGGGTCACCTTTCTTTGAAATAGGCACAAATATGGATCTCTTCCTATCAGTTGGCCAGATAGCTGTCTTCTAAATTTCTTGACTTAGATGAGTCAGTGCCTCCAGTGCCCCATCAGTTTGTTCAAAGATTTCAATGTGTATTTCATCAAATCCCGGAACCTGGTTCTTTGCCAATGCCTTCAGTGCACCTTGGACTTCTTCTTTCAGTATCTTTGGCTCTTGATCATATGTTACCTCTTGAAATGGTTGAACATTAACCATTTCTTTTTGGTAACTGCAAGCTTAAGGTTTACCATATACAATAAAGGTAAGTTAGTCCAAACTCTCCATTCCATATAAAGCAGGACCACGAGAAATGAATCCCTCTCCCCAATCCCTCATTTCTTCCCTTTCAGTGTACCAATTATTGCTGAAAAGGGCACATTCAGTGGTGAATGGCTAGCTATATCTAATGCTGGGAAAATCACTACCTCACAATACAAAATAATCCTGTTTTAGGAAAATCTTTCTAAAAATGTTTGAAGTTTGCTTCCTATAACTTTCAACACATTGGTCCTAGTTCTGCCCCTGGAACTTCACAAAGTGAGAACCTCTTTTATATGACAAACCATCAAGTAGCTGAAGTCAACAATCATATCTTTCATGCACAACCTTTCTGTCTCTGTAGGAAAACTTCCTCAAATGACACAATTTCTAGTTCCCTCATTTTCCTACCAGCACTGCTCTAGATGTGCTCCTGTTTCAGCATGGAGCCTAAGGACTCTATCAGAGATAGTTTGTTTTAGTGCAGAGTTCAGTAGAATCATGAAGTTATTCTTTTATTATGATAATACAACTAAAAATGCAACTAACTCTTTGTTGGCAGCCACAACACATTATTAATGTATATTCAGCTTAATTCAACCGTACATTCTATTAAGTATGATTTTTCTATCCCAATCCTGAGCAGTTAATCTGTCTAAGCCTAATGTAGGAATTTATCTTCCTATCTAGGTAGCCAATCTTTCTATTCCTGCAAAATATCTCCAGGTTAATTTTGTCTTCAGGTTCAATGGTTTAGCAGTTAAAGTTTTTCTTGAGTCCTATTTTTCACTATCCATAGTCTGATAAAGTTTTCAATTAATTTTTAGATAAATATGGTAAGTAGTAAAGGGTTCAATATAAGACCTCTGATGGTACAATGGTTAAAAATGAGGCTGCTCACTGACAGCTAAGTAATTTTAACTCACCAACTACTCCATGGCAGAAGACATGATGATTTGCTCCTATAAAGTGCAAACATATGGGGCAGGTGTACTCTGTCATATTGGGTCATTATGAGTTGGAATTGACTCAACAGCACATAACAACACGTACTCTCCAAGGATACAGCAATCTCTTAACACTTTCAAGACACACTATTTATTTATCAATCAATCTAACAAACTGTGGTTCTATCTGTAAACTTTGCTAATACTATGAGAGACTAGTATAAGCCATGCTGAAATATAAAACTATAGAGAATATAGGTCACTCTTCGTGACTACCCAGGGAGGTAAGCCAATCAAATAATAATAATAATAAAAAAACTCTTGATTTAGCATGATTTGTTTTTAGTGAACCTAAAATCATTCCTAAATCACCTTTAAAGAGTAGAGCTTGACCTTGATCGAACAGTATGCAGTTCCCAAATGACGTATACACAACAAAATCTTGGGAAAGCCTGTCTGAATGCTGACACAGGGAAAACAGCTAGGAAGGAAGAAAGACATAGTACCTGATTTCTTACACAGACTACTGGTCATGTGTCTTCTGGCTTGGGAAATCCTAATTTTGATAAAAGCTGAGGAAAGAATGGTGTGCAGAACAAAGAGGCACTGTTCTGTAGTAGTCTGCACCAAAGATCTTTTTTGGGGACTACTTTGTTCAGCTGTAACAATGGTAGTCCTGGTTTGGCACTGTAGGTTGCTAACCACAAGGTTGGCAGTTCAAACTCATCAAATGCTCCTGGGAAGCCCCATACAGGGTCGCTATGAGTCAGAACTGACTTAACGGTACTTAACAACAATGATGAGATATCTTCCATTTTGAAGAAAGGGCATGGTAACTTACGTCTCTCCTAGGAAAGGTGCTCAGTAACTTGAATTCATCCCATGGAAATCCTTTGGAAGCTACAAAATCAAAGACAATCTGGAGCTTATTGCTGGCCAGGAAACGCCGCTCCAAGAACTCGCCACTGGGGGTCCGGATCCGTAGTTTGCTCACAGGCTCAGCATTTTCCTCATTTGGCTCTGGAGGTAGGGCCTGCTCTAAGGAGAGCCGGATTGCCTAAGGAGAGCAAAAATCATGTGTTAAACTGTAGAATGTATGCAACTGTGTGGGGAGAATGAACAAAATTATGCAAATTAAGAATTCAACTAAAAAAAGGTCAAGGAAAAACTCCAATAAAACAAATGAAAGGATGGGATGCTCCTGCATTGCTGGTGGGATTGCAAAATGGTCCAACAACTCTGGAAAGCAATATGGCGCTTCCTCAGAAGATTGGAAATACAAATACCTTATGATCCAGCAATCCCTCTACTTGGTAATACGAGAAATACGAGCCATAACACGAGTAGATATATGCACACCAATGTTCACAGCAGCACTATTAACAATAGCAAAAAGATGGAGACAGCCTAAGTGGCCATCAGTTGACGAATGTATAAACAAACTGTGGTGGTACATACACACAATGGAATATTATGCTACCTTGAAGAACAACCAGGAAGGTGTAAGCCACCACATAACATGGATGAACTTTGAGGACATTATGTTGAGAGAAATTAGCCAGTTACAAAAGGAGATATACTGCATAGGACCACTATTGTAAAAGACTAAGGAAAAGAACCCATACTAAAAGGGGGCAGGGAATTCTTTGCTGGTTATCAGTATGTAGGGGGTGGGATGTGGGGAGGGAGGGGAAGGTGGAGCACAGGGTAGGGAATAGACAGAGGGTAGTTTGGGTGCTGGGGAGGGGGACGGGAACAGAAGAACAAAGCGGATGGGAGAACAGTTAGGCAGGTTTGCATGGGCTAGGTGGGACAGAGGAAAATAATGATGTATGCACAAACTTGGAACAACAGGGCTCTGGGATACAGGGATTGAGGTATGATTTGAATGGGTAAAAGAGGGGAAATAATGTTAAGATGCTTGGATGTCTTTTGAATCTTGGTTTCCCTTGCACACCATTATAAAATAGACACTTGAGGGGGGCAGATACGAATAGCCAGAAATATCACCATAGAAAGCTTGTAAATTCGTCTTCTGCCTATAATTTATTGCAATATCTAAAATGAGGCTACAACTTGCCCAGTGAAGGAGGCTTCCTGCGGAGCCTCTGCATTGCATAAGACCTTAGGTGGAATCCTGAACCCCATCTAGAATCTTCTGAGGTGGGAAATTTCCACTTGAAAAGACAAGCAGACCAGCCTGGAGCAGCTAAAAGAACAGAAGATACTTCCTAAAAGAAAGACCAACAAGAAAAATAAAAAACAATAATGGTGGTCTGACTGACTACTACAAGAACAAGCAAATTGCTTGCCCAGGAGAAATTAAGGCAAGTGGTCGGGTCGCCTCAGGGCAAACCCCCTTCCAAGACTAAGACTCAAGGGGAATACACAAGCAGACTGATAAGGGGAAGTAAGGGGAAAACAACAATGAAGTATCAAGCTAAGTCCTACCACGTTCAATAGATTCCTGTGAACCGGGTCAAAACCTGGTTGGCCAGCAGTACAGCAAGACCTGGGGACTCGTGGGCCCAGTGTCAGTGACAGAGCCACAGAGGACTAGAGTGGAGAGTGAAGCGACTAGCTGATAAGAAGAGAGGGCATATGTACAAGAACACCCACACTTGCAGATAATACCCACTTGACCTGGCTTAAATGGCTGGATGATCAGAGCTCAACTAGAAGAGGAA